TACGGAAAATGGCCAATTATTGGCGCATGGTGCGCAAATTTCCACTACCATAGCTGCCAGCTACTATATGAACTTTCTCCAAACAGCAGACAACATCGGCGTCAAGACGCTGGGTCAAGCGCTGGCCAAAGTTGCGCAGGCGCAATTCTCCAGCTTCGACTACGTGAAGGCATCGCCGCAGGAGCTGGCTCTGGAGGAGATCAAGGCACTGAGCGGCGCACCCGAGAGCACGGACCCCGATCTCGTCGAGAAAAACCTGCAGCCCCAGCCACAGAGCCTTGCCAGTGGCAGTGAGCTGGCCAGGCCGTCCAATGCCATCCGATCGGCCTCGTTTCTCATGCAGTATGTGCTCCTGATGCAGCGCATCTTGATTTGCGCCAAGCGAAACTACGTGAGTAGAAATACAGTGGGGACTCAATACCACGAACTAGATATCATGCGAATCCGCTTACACTCAAAGTTCAAGGCCCGAGATATGACAAAAATATTTGTTATATAGCTGCCAGGTTTTCAAAATACCCAAGCTTACATTTTAATAACTCGCCTGCAATAACTTTAATGCACAAAATGGGTAACAATTAGTTTAAAGCCGGTTTAGGGCAGTGGCTAAGTGGTTAAGAGTTGATGGGCTGTCGAGTTGATTTGGTAATTGGTGCGGCGTCCTCGAAAAATTGAATCCAGTTTCGGCTAATCTCGTTTCTGCGTAATTCTTAATGGCTAATCTCATAAATAGCCGCTTTTTACTTTATTATTTTTTTCTTTATTTCTCCGAGCAATTACAGCACAGCTGCACATTACCATTTTGTGGTTGTACATTAAGCACTATAAGTTTTTTGGCAAGGTTGGCCGCTTCGCCACGCTTTCGGATTTTGCTAAAAATCACATGAAAATGGGACTTATGCATGCTTTTAATTGAGATATAAGATCATGCATGCGGAATATAATAGGGCACTTGCTGCGTTTCCGTTTTTTTTAGTTTCCGAAAGCATTACGCTTAAACATATAACCGCGGCATCAAGCGAGATTTTTAATTGCTACTCGTGCGCTTAAAAGTAATTCAAGCACACAACTCAATTGGGTAATTGCACTTCTCATAGCCATGCAGCCCGGACTAACCAATATTGATTAGGTGGGTTGTTCTACAGCTAATACGACTTTCAGTTCGTTGGCACCACGCCGTGACAAATGAAAACAAATGACTCAGGGCAAAGGCTCAAGTGCTTAGCATAAAAAAGAAATAAATAAATAACTACGGAATCAGAAATGCCATCGAGATTGATGGCCGACGTTTATCATCCGAATGTGCCCAATTAGCACTTGAGGTACCTTTGAAATGTGAAATTGAACGGCTTGTGTGATGATCACTTAGCGCGCTAACTCACTTTTTGTGACTGCACACGATTAATGTGCTTCTGCATACACACTGCACTCGACCACTCAAACACCGGAGTGTGGGCATAGCTCTGTTAGCACCTCCAGAGCCGCCGATATTGACTTGTCAGTGTCACAGAACTGGCCAACCGGCGACTCCGAGAATCTCGGAGCCACTCGAGCGGCTCGTAACTGAAAAGTAATGCCAGCACTCAGCCTTCACATAGATTTCGGCTTTACAGTGTTCTAATGACCAACATCCACTACACGACCAGGGGCTTTAAGTTGCCAAAAGGCACAGCTGCGGTCAGTGCAATAGCCATCAAATTGCGGAGCCTTGGGCTTGCCAGCTACTTGAACAGCGTTGCTTAGACTGTTTCCCATCGGTTCAGCATTTATCTAAGTACGAAAATGTTTATTACATGTATGGGCTTAGCTGGCGCAGTAATAGTTTAGACCCACTTTCCCACAAGATAGTTAAAAGCTTGCTGCCTTTATGGCAATTTGACATGGCAAATAGGCGTATTTTGAGAAAACTGCCCATAAATGTGTCACTTAAAACACAAAAACTAGCGGGTAACTAACAAAAGCTGCGTATTTACAAGGACGTTAAAGAGTTCTTCGCATTCGCATGAGAAAGTTCAAGCAATCTGTGCGTACACAAAGTATCTTAGAGCTAAGCACCTAATGGCTCGTATCTTTCTTTCAGTTTCTGCTGCTGGCACGCATCTTCTCGCACATTTTCATCGGAGTCGTCTTCGGCTATCTGTACATGAACGTGGGCAACAATGCCCAGAGTGTGCTGGGAAACTACGTGTATCTGTACGGCTCCACGCTGCTCTTGGTCTACACCGGCAAAATGGCTGTGGTCTTGACGTGTAAGTATAAGTATCTGAAATCGCTGATCGCACCCCGCCTCCCAAATGCATGTATCCAAGTGGTTCTCCAGTGCCAGCGAACACCTCCGGCTTGGCCTTTCCCAGTTTCCAGTCAATGGCTTCCTTGGCTGGCCAAGTTATGCAAAAATTTGTCGCCAGATTTGGCAAAAAACTGCAGCTGTTCTTGCGCAATGTCTGTTTATTTTGGCCACTTTGCTTTGTCTCTAGCTGCCGCGTTCTAAGATATTTGTTTAGATACTTATTTTTTCGGAATGCGGATTAGCCAATCTTTTCTTGGCATTTGCACAAAATGTCGTGGGTCCTAATTGGCAAAAAGGAAACACGATTTTGTGCTTAGTTAGCTGGGTTGAGAATCTAGTATCCAGTCAGCTCGGCCATAATAAACTTATTGAAATTATATTTATAGGAACATTAACCCTGGAAATGAGGGCAGATCTGATTAGCGATAAAAGGTCCCTGCCGATCCACTTTGTCATTAATAATTTCCATGTAAATTACCAGAAATTGCACTTCTCACCCCCGAAAAAAGCGATCCTGAAGCCCGCTAAGTAAATAATTATAAAATACAAGAGACAAGCTGCGATTATTGTATAATACAACCGGTTGGCCGGCCAGCGGTTCTCGACTTACAATAAATTGCTGCAGACAGGAGGCATTGGAGGAGCTGGTGGAGCTGGGGGAGCTGGGGATTCGATCTTTACCGGTTTCGGTTTACTGACCTGACCTACATATGTACAATATAATACCCTCACCTTCGTGCGCACACTTCGCATCGCATTGAATTCAATCCGAATCCGAATTTAATCGACATCTCACTTATCAATTAACTTTATCCGCAGTTCCGCTGGAAATTGACATGCTGACGCGGGAGCACTTCAACCGCTGGTACAAACTGGGTCCCTACTTCCTCTCGCTGATCTCCTTCGAAATACCCTTCCAGGTGAGCCCCACTGCTACTATAGATCACCAGACCGATCAGAACCCAGCCCCAACGGTAATGATCATTAATCATCATTTAGAGCTAAGCTTCCATTGGTGGTAGTGGCCTAATGAATTACCGCTCGGTCATTAAGTCAAATTAACGATGTGAAATCGCCGATGTTCGAGTTTGCGTTTCATTTGCGTGACAGAATCGCGTAAGCCCGACTACCTGTAATTTTGCAGTGATTGTTCCGATACTCCGGCATATATGAGTGTGTGTGGGCCATGTAGTGAAATTGGCAATGAAAGAAACTCTTTGGTTTGCCGTAATGGTTCACGATTCGAAAGACTAGCATTTTTGGTAATTAGGGGCAGCCTATTTTTCTCTTTTCTGTGTTATTCATACCAGTTCTACACATGAAAGTAGGAAACCATATTCTGGTTTTATCCAATCTACCCACTATTAATCACTTATCACGGTCCATATCAATGCAATGAATTATAATATTATCATAAAGAGTAAATATCCGATAAATCAATATTATTAATATAATCAACCAATTAATTATCCATTTCATTCCCACTGGCTTACTCATGTTTGCATTTCCACATTTCAGAGCCTCTGCACCGCCATGTACATCATCATCAGCGTGCACCTGACTGGAAACGATGCCACGGACTCATTCCGGATCTACTACTTTGTGCTGCTGGGCATAATGGCCTCTTTGAGCGCCCAGGCCTGGGGCTTCTTCGTGGGAGCCACGTTGCCAACCAAGGTGGGTTCCGCACGCCATCAGCTACCTGGGAATCCAATTAGTAATGACTGATCTTTCTACCTCAGCTTGCCGTGTTTTTGGGACCCATTCTGGCGGTGATGTTCTCCGTTTTTGGATTCTGCACGCGCTACATCGACATCACGCCCCTCTTCCGATGGATGTGGCACTTGAGTTACTTCCGAGCCGGATTCCATGGGGCGTTGAACGCCATCTACGGGATGGATCGACCTTTTCTGGAGTGCCCCGAGACTGCGATGTACTGCCACTTCCGCAGCCCGAAGGTCTTCCTCAAGTACATGATGATATCGGATGTGCACATGTCCGACTGCCTGATCCTCATGGGCGTCGTGATCGGAGTCATGCATGTGCTGACCGTCATCACTCTGTGGCACAAGCTCAACAGACGATAGGATTCCATGCCCAAGGCTTAGTCCCAGTGTTAGTCCCTTTGTACATAGTCGGGTGTCTTTCCATCTTTCCTTGTTTTAAGTCCGAATTCGAAACTCCCCTTTTGTGTTTTTATGATTGATCGACCGATTCGATGTTAGCTTAGGTATTTATTTTAATATTCTCCGAAATATTGTATGCAAGAAGGCTTTAGGGTAGCTTACTCCAGTTTAAGTGCTGATATACCAAAAAGGAAGATCAACTGCAACACAATCGCTATACCCCCGTTTCCATCTTGCCCTGTGAACTGTATACTTCATCCACTGAGCTGGATCTCCGCGAGGAACTCCAGCTATGCCAAGTCTTGAATATTGATCTACTGCTATAAGGTCCGCTACAAAAAAACTTTTGTGATCAACATTTTGTTTCGTCTCTTTAGTGATAGCTTTAGTTTTAGCCCTAAGTTGCAATTACTTGTATATGGCATATTTCGCTTAGTTTGTGTTTTAAATTTTTTGTTTTTATAATAAAACGTTTGGTACATATGATGACTTCAGTTTGCTTACTCGCAATATAGCTGTCTCCAGCACAAAATGGAACTATTAACTATCGCGAAATATTATCTAGCGCATATAAAAGACTTGAGTGACAGTCTAACAAATCAATTTTATTAGTTGCAAATGCTGATGCCGTACAAATAAGTTAAATACATTGATGGAGATGACGCCGGCTTAACAGCCTGAATCTTTCGAACGCTTAAAGACTAAACACGTACATTATATAAAAAATATATAGTGGAATCATTCATGTATTGCACCTAATACCGACTCACTCACATTGTGGACATGCGTGCATATCGAATTATCTGGTCGTGATTCAGGGGGCTGTCGGTGGACAACTGAACCCTTTGCCACTGCCTGGTCTCGTTCGATTTCCGGATGGCCTCGACCACCGCCTGGACGTAGAGGCCATCCTCAAAGGTGGCCGCTGTGGAAACTGGAGCCTTGACCCAGGAGGACTCCTTGCTGCCGAAGGCTTCCTTCAGAGCGCCCACCATCTTGCAGAGACCTTTGATATAGGGTCGTGGTAGCAAGGAGTTATTGGTGGCGAAGTGCAGATCCTGAACATCCACATAGACAGCTTCCTCCTTGGGCTGGCCCTCCTTGAGAACAAATAGGTCGCCGCCGCGGACCACCAGGTGTCCTTTGCTGCCATAGATGAGCACTTCCTGCGAGAAGGCTTTTGCGGGCACAGTGTGACTGTGCAGTGCTACTGTGACCAGTGTTCCACTGGCCAGCTCCATTTGGAAGTTGCAGAAATCCGGAGCCGTAATTTGCCGAATGCCATTAATGGCCGACGTGGTTTTGGTGTAGGATCGCAGGACTCCATGCACTCTTAGTGCCTGCTGTTGCAGCAGAAAGGTAACCAAGTCCACCACAGATCCCACGAGATTCAGGGCACCGCCGCCCATTTGGGCATCGCACATCCAGTTGTACTTCTCAGGGAAGAGAGTTCCCATCTGAACGCGCACATCCATGAGGACCACGTCGCCAATGGAGCCAATCAGCTCCTCCTGCAAACAGCGACGCATGTGGGTGAAGGCGGGCAGGAACCTCAAGGGATGGTTGACCAGGGAAATCAGAGTGGGATAGTACTGGGAAGCCCGCACCATTTTGAGCGCGTCCTGCTGGTGCAATCCTGCTGGCTTGTCGCACACCACATGCTTCCCGATTCCCAAGGCCTTCACCGAGATCTCCGCGTGCAGAAAGGGCTGGCAAACGATGAACACCAGGTCCACATCCTTTCGCAGCAAGACATCGTCGATTACGTTCGTATGGAATTGGACATTCTGCGTGGTGGCAGTCTCTTTCGCCTCTTTGAGGGTCCTGCCCCAAATGGCCCGCACGTCGAATCCTTTCTCGCGCAGCAGCGGCACCAGCACATTGGCTATCTCCCCCGTTCCGAACACTCCAACGCCCGGCAGCATCGCTCAAATAGGATAAAACTCTAATCAAGTTAAGCGAAAATTCCAATGTTTATTTTTGGTGGCCGACCAGGGCTGCCACATCGGTCAAACTGTGGGCGTGAACAGCTGGGCCTATCGCAGCGATATATCGATAAATGTATACCAGCTATTTTTTAGCCAAAAGAATTCAAAATATTTAAAGCTCTTGAAAAATATTAAGTTTAAAAGTATGTAGCTTTAGCTAAGCGAGTGACTAAAAAAAAGGTAAACTAATAATTTAAAATTAATTTAAATTCGCTTGAAAAGTATGCTGACCTATTTAAATTTAAGTCATAGCAACCGCAAAGAGCTTTCAAAACAAGGTCTAAATTCTTTTTCGAATCATTAATCAATCCACTTTCAAATGATTTCGATTGCTCAGTGGCTGACTTCTTTTACGGCCGGAGCTTTGGCCACTGCACAGGCGATTCGTTTTCTAAAGACTGTCAACGAGGAGGAGTCGCCCGCCAAAATTTCAAACCAGCTGGAAACGGCGGCCATCGATGGACTGGCCACCGAGCAACCGAAGATCCTGGGCTCCGAGCAGATCAGCAATGTCCTGCAGCACATTTTGAGCGGCGAGCGCAACTCGAGCGGCGTCTACTTGGACGCCATGCACAACCGTAGTGCCAACAAGCAGCAGTACGCCCTGGGCTCCGAGTCGCTCAACCAAATGCTGGAGGACATCATGACCCCCGCTGGGAGTGTGAGCAGCAGGTCCTTGTCCGTGGAGCCGGCCGTCGAAGCTTAGCTTTTTGCAGCTGCCCCAAGCTGCAAGAAATGCAAGTTCCTTTTCTAACCCAAAACTAATACAAAGTAAACTTTGTTCTTTCTCCACTAAGAAGCAAATGAGCTTGTAAGATATAGGCTAACATAGTCTAGAATGCTTATCTTCTTATCCTTGCCAGTTAAATGTAATCCCTCTTTAAAGACCTCCCTGCTGTCCACTCAATTAACTAAGCCCGAGTCCCTTGGCTTCCATTTCGAGTGCGGTCTACCCCGCTAACCAACTCCCCATGTGCTCTGCCACTTTGCCCCTTTTTCCCCATGTGCCACTTGTGGACCGCTTTTCGACCCTTTGAGCCATGTGTGGTATTGCAGCTGTCAAAGCAGCCGGCATGCGGAAAATGATTCTGCAGCTTATTACAAGCTGGCAACTGCGAGTGCAAACGCTCGGCGGAGTGAAGGACTTACTGACGACTGGGCTTATGATGCACTGCGAGCAATCGGGGATCACAGGATTAGCGTTTGCTGGTTGGCATTACCAATATTACATTAGGAAGCGCCGAGAGCGCTTAAGACAAACGAAGTAGTGTGGGTTGAGCCCAGCGCGGATTACATACTGACATTTTCTCTCAGTGTACATCAACACCACACCACACAGGCGTACTGTGCGCCTGTGTTTGTGCGGGCGAAGGATGTGGGCGGACATAATGCAAGCATTGGCAAGCCATGGCAAACAAATGTCACAGTCGACGCATTGCCCTGTCATATGGTAACCCAATTAGTGTAATTTGGTTTAAGGCAGCTGCCGTCTGTCTGCCCCAGCCATATCCATACACATTGTATACCCCCAATCCCGTCTTAATTAAACCACAAAGTGCACAGCGGCAGCGGCAGCGGGCAAACAATTAAATTTAAAGCAAAGCCGGCGGCTCCGGCAAACAGCTAATGAATGCCGCTGTTTGTGACCTGCGCCCAAGATATTGCCACAAGTTGGGGCGCCATCAAAGGTGCAATTGAAGGGCATTCCCCCGAAAGGAAGAAGCCACCCCAGGCGGTGCACTGAGTCCTGAGACAGCTATTGTGTCGGCTGGGGCAGGTACTAGATTACTAGGTAGTAATACATCACATATTAATGGTAAACGTGGCTTAGTCGAATAACTCCAATCAAATGCTCGCTAAACTCTGCCACATAGCAGTTGAATGGGTTTAAGTGGCATCCGCAAACTAGCTTTCTCTAAGCCAATTAAAATGTATCAGAGCCATCTGAGAAATGCCCCAAGGCTGGGCAGACACAGCTTCTAATTGAATTCTGAATGTTAATGGCAATATTGATTACACTTGCTGATCCCGGCTTAGTTTATCCAGACTTTGTCAGACCGCAGGACTCCTGGGGCAAGGGGCATGGGGCATGGGTCGGTAAACTTGCCGCAGACCAGACATTAATCACATTTAAGCCAGATTAATACTAAATGCAGGGGCGGGACGCTCCCGAAATGCCTGCAATTGGCGCAGGACAACTGAGCATTTAATAAGCCAAACAAGCGGCCGTCGGCGCAGCTCTACGTGACCTCATCTTGAGGTCTGCAAGCCGCCGGAAACTGAGTCTGCGACTGAGACTGGGTCTGGGATTGGGATAGGGATTGGGACTGGGACTCGAATGAATCAGACCGCACATAGATCTCTGTCAGAGGCATTAGCATTAGCAGCGAAACAGGGCAGCCAAAGATAGTTCATCAAAACTGACAAGCCCATTTCGCTGTTGGGAGTCACAGAGCGCCCTCCAGCTCGGCTATGATACCACACTTGAAGAAAAACCCGAGAACATCAGAATAATATCAACAATGGTTAGGATAGCTCTCCCACGAGCTATGAGATATGCCATGCATATACCATATAAGCTGGGAATAATATAATTATTTGCACAAGCTTTATCGCCTTGTTAGTTTATTTTTTCTGTGTTCAGATGAGCTGGAGGCCAGGACACACAGCACAGCTGCAGGGAAGGCTCCGCATCACCAGGCAGCATCTCCTCCACCCACTTCAGCTGGAGAACCGCAGCCAACAGATGAGAAATATTCATCAGCATTTACGTCACGCAGCGCGCAAAAGTCGCTGGGAAAGCGGCGGGGAAATGGGAGGACGTCTCCGTCGAAATGGCGAAAGGAGCGCAGGACGAGCAGGACGAACAGGACGAACAGGACGCATAGGGCGAACAGGACCTGGCACTGGATGTCAGTAGATTTATGTTGACATTTCAATGACAGTTGTGAAAATGCTTCCATTTTATGTGTGTTTTGCTGTGGCTGCGGCCCGTCCGTCGCCTCTTTCATCTTAAATTTGCGCAAATTGCTTTATCGCAGCATCTTAAATTATTTCCAATCACGTATCACTCACGAATCGGGGAAAGTATATGTCGCGGATGTCACGATCCGGGCAAGGAAATAATAATGTCACACGGACTACTCTCGAATTTAAGGGGGAATTGTTGGGAAATAGTTGAAGGTTTGGTATATGTACTTGTGTATTTTATAGCAAAGCATATATAAGGACAACTTTACAAATTCATGAAATCGAACTGAACCAGGTAAACCAGGTATAGAAAACTAGTGATGATCATCTGAAAGCCCATGTTGTAGTTAATGGAGAAGAGGCCACACAGCTGAAACCGAAATTTGCGGTGAGTGCACAGCCAAGCAAATTCATTCAACTGTCAGAAAAAGGATAATTTAGATTGGAACTCAAACTGCTGAAGTGTACTCACACTTCGCTCCAACTCCTCGTCAGCGAGCTCCAGATCAGTGTATTGTTTAAGGACCTTTGATGTTTGGTCGCCACACTTTCCGGCGAGATCGCACACCACAATATTCAGCCAGAAATCCCAAAAATTAAGTAGCAATTGAGGGGAAGCCACTATGCAGGTATACCACTGGTTCATGCTCACTCCGAGCACGATGAGGAAAAAGATTTGCACAGTGTTTCCGATTAAGTAAATAGTTAGCAGAAGGATGAGCTGGAAATCGCTGGTCGCCACCACCATTTCACTCAGCTTCAAGAGGCGATCGTACAAGGACACCAGTGCGCGAATTCTTGAGCAGCTCAGCTTGCTGGAGTCCTGCAGTGTTTCATTGACCAGCCACACATAGCGGTAGACCAACATGATTTCGACATGAAAGTGCACAATAATCAGTTGGGAGCCCACCGGTGGCAGGCAGCAAAGTATCTTTAGGATCTTCGGGTACGAATTCTCCTGCCACAGACAGAAGTAAGTGGCAATTATGATCTGGCCTATTGCAGTGACATGTTTTTTAATCACGAGCCAGTTGAACCTGGCACAGTTCTTCACAGTCAGAAGGTCCTTTAGCTGGCTCTCTAGGGTGAGTAGTTCATTGGCAATCTGCCGAATCGTGTTGCTTTTCCAAAAGTTCATGAGCAGTAATACGCCTATAGAAAAGTATGCAGTAACTGCGAACTGTAGATATATTTTCTCCAGCAGCGGATTGCGCTCAAATGCGATATATTTTCTCCGCTGCTGAACTGCTAAGTAGCTACTCAACGCTAGGCACATGCCGAAAAAGTGCAGTATAAAACCGTAGAGTAGAAGCCATGTGGAGCGTCTCAACTGTCTTCTTCGGGAATCGAAGGTGAAGGGAAAGAGTCCTAGTAGCCAGGATGCGTAGAGAGTCGTCTGCAGCAAGAACCATGCCAAGTGGCAACTGAAACCGCGACGTGGCTGGTACATTTCCCTCTAAACTGTTGGATAAAACTAATGTCAACAGGTTTGCAGCAAGGAAAAGGAAGCAAAGTTAAGCCATCTTTCACTTGCAATTAGTGTTATTAGAACTATCCTTGGTTATCTGCAATATGCACTTAATTAAAGTTAGGTTTAATAAACTAAGTGACTGACATGCAGTTGGTGTTACCCAAAAACCTGCGTGAATTTAATGAACTCATCGCATATTTCAAATTGACACATTTCATAAGATCCAACTAGCTACGGCACCTCGTCCTGCTGGCAATCAAAAAACAAATTGTTTGCGTGCCAGCCATCAATTTTTATTAACTTGATTAAGTGCTTTATGGCAGGCATCGGGGATTTCTGGTTGAGCAACAAGTTATTAGCCATGGAACGGAAATGCCAAGGGTCTCTGCAGGCGGGGGGCTTCTAAGCCAACCCAGATATATATATAGATATATATGCACATGGCCCATGACGATGGGGATCCTGTGACAGCAGCTGGCGAAGTCGCCTCTTCTACAGCTGGTGTCAAGGAATAATATTTGCATTGTTGTAGCTGAAAAGGGGCTGACTTAAGTGGGCCTGGGGCTGGTTGTGGATTGGGGTTAGAAGGGTTCCAAGGAGTGGGAGGTGGTCCAGGTCCCCGATGCTCAGCATTTCAATAAGCTAAAGCTCAGCCTCGGATGAGCAAGGGGGATGGGGATGGGGGGCACAGGCTGCTCTGCGGACGAGGGAATTTCATTAGGCAAATAATAGGAAGTTATGAAGACGTTACCTTCGTAGTTAACTGCAGGGAAATTTCTGCCAGACCTCCGAGCTTAGCCTACCTAAAATCTGGCATTCCTTTTTATTATAATTTTATGTGGTACAATAAATAATTCCCAATCCAGCCAAAGATAGTGCAGCACAGCGGCTGGATTGAAGTTTGTAAAACAACTTCCCAGTAGATAACTTTCTCAAATAATTAAGAGTGAGGAGCAAAGGGAGTGTGGTGCAGCTGCGTTTAGTCCAAAATGAAGTGCTGTCTGCTGGCAACTGGAAAATTCCATTTGCCAGGCCCGCAAACATCTCAAAACAGGAAATTTTGCAGTCGAATGAATTCCGGATTGTCTGAGGGAATTCCATTAGCAGGGATCTCGTATGAGCTGCACTGTACAAAGCCACCCAACCGCCCCACAAAAACACGCATTTGCATACACATTTGTATAAATAAGGCTGAGCCCAAAGCTGGTCACTTGCCCTAATTGAGCCTGAAGGTGGGATTGGGATGCCTTTTGTGGAGCTGAGCGAGGAGTCAGGATGCTAATTGAACGTATGTATGCGGGGTACAGCACGCTCACAGCTAAAAGTTGTATTTATATTCATGCAAAAAGTGCTGGCACAGATTCATCTCAGTACGCCTAAGCAACTTTATCTAACCATTTACCATGTGCAGTTACTAATATTTGGACCGCGACTGTATGCGTGCCTATGTGCGCACAATTACTTGACTGAATCTCAGACAGAGCAGTCATATAAAATGCAATTCACAGATTAAGATACATGTAATTTTTCCCCCCTCACGTCGTCCGCAGGACATAAATCAATGCGTCCTGCCACAAGCTGGACATCCTGCCTTTCGACTGTGGAAGCGCATTTCCCCCGCTTTTCCAACCCTTTCCATAAGGCAATTTAAATGATTTCAGCAGGCTCGACTGCCAAATTGTGAGTTTTGCATTTAAAGTGCCCCATTGCCTTCCATTTGACATTGCCATTGCTGGTGTGACATGAGCACATTGTGTGCACAAGTTAAAACTCACTTAATTATCCGGTTGACGCTGCGCAAATTGCAGTTAAGCTTGGCAATCACCTGTTAACAATTAGAAGTCAGTGCCACTTCAGATACGTTCAAAACCTTTTGAGTAATAAATTTATATATATAATATATTTAAATATATATTAGATTAAATTAATCTTTAAATATTTTAATATTTAATATTTATTAAATATATGTTATAATTAAAAAAAATATATATATTTATTTTCATTATATTTTATTCTTTTATTTGGAGAAAATGTCAAGTGGGTAGGAGCAAAGCTCCTGCTGACCAAATTAATTTCCGAAAGGATGACCGGAACTGCATTTTTCAATTAATTGCGAGTGCCAAAGGTCCTCGAGTCGCTTTTGGTGATTCCGCTGAATGCTCAGGATAATTCCGCGGTTCACGGAGGTCAAGCGCAGTTGCTCGCAAATGGAAACATTTGGATGCGGATGGTTGAGGTCGGGAAAGTCCTCAAAATCGAAATCATCTGTTTCGGCAGATGCTCCGAATATCTTATTGAAGTTCGATGAGTTTAGTATCGGACGCTTGGCTTCGTTCTGTGGAGGAGCATTCATCTCGATATCATTTTCCTGTAAAAGTTAACTTTAAAATGTTTAATAAATGTTATTTAATAAGCAGGAAGGAAATATTCATGGCTGCGCAGTTATTTGTCAGAGAAAAACACGTTTTGAATAGGAGCGCCTAGTTAAATATTTATAAACCTTAATATTATCTACATATTAATTGCGATAAATCAACACAAGTGCTTTCGTTTAGCAGGGAATGATTGAAACAGAAAAACTAGCCAATTAATTGTGGCTGGGTGATTTATCAGTCCAGTCACCGGTCCATATAGGAACCGAAACCCTAACGCACCTGATTATTCCTCGGACTGAAAGTGGAAATAACTTTCCCCGGAGCCTGGTTGCGCCTATTATAATCCTCCTCGTGCTCCAAGGGATCTTCAGTGAAAAGGATATTCACATACTTATTCATTTTGCCTCGAATTGAATGTTAGAGCGCTTCGTATTCAACAATTTCCAGCAAGTGAAACCTTCGGAGCTACAATTCAGGGCCTGCTGAGAGGTTTAGATTAATCGGGTTTCCCAGCTCATTCATGCAAAATGCATGTCCATCAATCCAAAACAAATTAGCACTGCCCACTCATCCCGAGTGCAGCTAAAAGCCTTTTCACCTACCGAAATCCTCGGAGCGAGGCCCTCGATTATTTACGTACTAAATGCAGATAAAGTTCCGTTTTTAAGGCTTCTATCCGGGAATCCGGACTACGGACTACGGACTACGGACTACGGACTACGGACTACGGACTACGGACTACGGACTATGGACTACGGACTGCGGACTCCGGACCTTTCTATGCACTTTGCTGGTGGACCGAAAAATAAAATTTATTTACAGTTTCCCCTGCCGGAGGCTGGCGAAAAACGGAAGCCAGTGGGCGGGGATTTTGCAGGGGGCGCGGTTGGGAAAACTCAGTCACGTTTTGTGCAAAATGGAAATGGTTTGGAATTTACGGCCAAATACTCGCCCAGCAAGTACTATAAAAAATGCGAAGGGCGGCAACCCTAATCGTCGTGAAGGACTGCTGCTCTATTATTTTCTGCTATTTTTTTTGGGTTTTTCGGGTAGGCCTAATGAAATTTTCGCTTTATGGCAAGTGCAGCCGGGTGAATTGCAGGTGAAAGCTTTTCCTGTCAGCCGGGGAATGTTGTTTCGAAATCACATTTTTTGCGGCTCCTTTAATTTGAGTGCTGCACGGAATGGTAGCTGCTCCTCCGGCCCCATCATAAATAAACAAATGCTGTAAACCATCTGATATGCGAGCCGTTTTTACAGGCTGACCGAGTTGGTTGATGTGTTCCCTTATTTTACCTTGCACCTTTTGCCATTTTATTACCCTGCCTGGTTTTTTCGGTGCGTAAGTTTATTTGTCACAATGAAACAGGAGCAGCATGTCCTGCAAGTCGGAGAAGTCAGCTTAAATTGCGGTGGGAAAAAGGATATTCGTGGTTTGATATTTCAAGTTTAAGTTTACTTAAAAACTATACTTTAGCTTGGATCCAACTACTAAACGAAATGTGTAAGTACAAAATGATGAGGAGGTATTTGTATTTTTTGCTAGAGCGGCTTGGTAAACTGGTACCGCTTCGTTTTGGGCCAAGATCTGTGCTTCAAATACTATTATTTGCAGCTTATTAAACATTCCTTTTTGCACATTTTGCAAAAGTTGCTGCCACTGTTCGTGGGAACAATGAAAAGTTCAACTAACCATGACTTTGGGGCTACAAAATGCCCGGACAAGCTGTACACATTAAGTTTCAACTTTGGCCCCACACCAACACACTGACACAGGTGTGATCCCCCAAACCCCCCGCCCCCCGGGACCCATTACCCCCCGCCCTGAACTCTGAACCCACAAACACACTAAAACACACTGAAACAGACTGCAACACGCAACAAACCAAAGCCGCCAGCAAGTCAACAAAAATGGTTGCTCTCCGCTGGTTTGCGTTTTCCGCTTTTGTCGACGCTTTTGCAACTTTTGCTGTCACTCGTTTTTTACCATTTTGGCCAGCATTTTAATTTCATACTTTATGCAGCCTGTTGGGGGATTCAAGCTGTTCCATAATGAAGGCAGCTTCCTCAAGCGGCTAAGCAGGAAAATATGACAAAATGTTCAGCTAGCGGCGCATATTTGAGCCTTTCTCCGGAGCTTAGTAACTACCACAAGCGCACTTAAACCTAACAAAAGCAGGAAAGAAAATCTAACTCACTAAATTAGGTTTAAAGCCAGAGTAAGAATATACCTTATAAATATAGAATGTTCCGATTTGAGAACGCAAATAAACCTACGGATTTTGTTTAAAGCTGCTCCTAATACACCAGATTGTTTCGAGTGTACCACCCATTGAACCACCCCCCCCCCCCCCCCCCCCCCCCCCCCCCCCCCCCACCGCCTCCACCACTCCAGAGTTTTCCGCGTGCTGACAGCGGAAAATGTCACAAAATGTTGGCGGCGCTGACTTTTCTGCATGAGTCTGCTGTTTCATTTTATTTGAGCCATTTTCGTACCAGCTCAGACTATGACTATCGCATTCATATTTTTGGCCTTTTACGACTTCTCATAATCTTTATGGGCGTGGGCGGTGGGCGATGGGCGGCGCCGGGGGCGTGGCTCAGCGCTTTTAACAGCCCAAGGAGTTACGACGCTTATGAGTGCAATTTAAATTCAAAAGCCGCTTAAATTTATTTGGAGCCCAAGCTGCAGCTCCTGCACTCACTTAAGTCAATTTTTGTGTTGCAAATTTTACATTTATGACAAGCAATTTAACTTTTGCCTAATTGCGCGACATGCAAAATTGCAAGTTAACTTCTGGGAATTGTCTACGCCCCATATCTGCGCCTTATCCCGGGCTCCTCATCCCCAGGAGGAGGATGGGCAGGATGCCCGGAGTGGTGTGTCCTGATGGTTCATTAAATGTAACTTTTGGCTCCGTCGGAAGGCGGCGTAGAAAAGTTCATCCTCCAGCAACAGGATGTGGATGCCTTCGCTCCTCTGCCGACGGAGCTACCAGGAGTCAGCACCTTCGAGTCAGCCGGGAACCAAGCAAATAGAATGGCTCATTAGGATAGTGCCACTGGAACTTATTGGATTAGTTGCCCTTCCTCGGCAGAAGGATGATTCAGTCACGCGATGCCATTCGCTGTGCATGTGGAGGTTGGGGGAATATCGGCGTATCCTCGCAGATTTTCAGGGATGGGCATAAAAACGGATTGTGACATTCTTCGGGGCGGAGAAGTATGCAACGGCTCCTTTGGTTGAAATGCATTTTCATAATACGATTTGACTTGACTTTTTTCGTCTATTTGGAGGGTATGCAAGCAATCGCAGCTTTCATTGTCACAAATTCAATAAAAATACGTACCACTTATTTTGGTTTCATTTCAGACCATTTTTTAGACAATGCCAACTTCGTTTGAAGTGCCCCATTTATGTTGGCGTAGTTTTCACAGCTTCAGTTTTGGCATCGCTTTTTCTCAAACGTCTGCCACCCACGGAAAGCTATTTATGAACATTTTATGCTTTATAAAAATGGAAAACTGGTTGAAAGCGCTCAGAGTTGCTTTGAAAAGTTGCTGAAACTTAAAAGCAACTTAAAACTCCGAACCCAGCTAATCTCATTGGGGAAAGTTAAGTTTGTCTATACGCCAATTAGCAAAAAGCAGGATTTTCATTTCGCATGCAAGTGAAGATGTCAAAGCCTCGGATGCGGAAAATGGGAAACGATTTTTCCGGCTCAAGGCGTCGAAGTGGATCGAGCATTGTCTTAATCTTTCCCCGCGGTCTCTTATGCGCTGCGAGTTGTTTGAAAGTGGTGGAAACTGAAGGATAAACACGCACAAGGAAGCTGCCTGAAAGTCCTTGTCACTTCGCAAAAGGATTTGCATTTTCAAATCCATTTGGAGTTGCATAAACTGATTTTTCAGCGACTTAACTTGTGCGTCACTCTGTCGTTTGCAAAAAAAATCCCAGCTTGTAAGTAAAAGCTTTAAAAACAAACAGGAATTTAGTCCTGTTTGCATTCAGTATGCATAAAGGATTATTTTCACTCTTCCAATCAAACAAATGTAAAATGAATACAATTTTGAATTTATATTCCAAGAGATTCGTTGTTGCGAGCCTGTAATTCATACGGATAAAGTTATCGAATATTCCGGAAATATACGAATTGTGTATGGATTGGTGTTGTTTTAACACTGGTATTTAATTTGTGCGATTTTTCATTTGCTGAAACTGTAAGCCTTTTCTGTTTTTAAATGTTCTGGTGCTGGACACGAATTTTGAATGGCTTCGCAAAAATGTGTTGAATGCTAGTAAATGCATGCAAGTGAGGCATTTAAGCCCAGTTCAACTCGACATTTTCGCCAAGTTTTCCTGCTGGCGACATTTTGCCAGCCGCAACATGTTAGCAAAAACCGAAGTTTTCCTGAAGTTTAAGTTTGTCTTTGGTCTGGGCCCAAGTTGCAGGAGGCCACAGCTCGACGTTGAGCCCACTCTGCGGTCATGAGGCACTTGCTCATCCTGGTGCTCCAGCTCCAGCTCCAGCTCAAGCTCCAACTCCAGGCAGCGACCAGTGACCTCAGCCCCAAGGGAAAAAGTAATTTAAGCACAGACAGGACAAGACGTTTGCATGAGTTGGCAACTGTAGTTTACCATTTTTATTTAGCCATCATTTGCCTTTATGACTGCTGCGGTAATCCGGCCAGTGATGTCCTCAAAGCCACCATGATTTGGCCATTTTGTCGAGTTCATTTCGAAGTTGTGGAAAAGTTTATGCAAGTGTGGCAAGTTTTACAGACTCGTGGGCCAGGTTTTTGGCCAACTTAATGGCAGCCACGTGCAGCATTTTGGGGGAAAAGTGCTCATTAAAAAGTAATAAATGTCAGGCCAAGAAAAATGCCTTGGCTTGAAATCATTTTCAGAAAACCAAATCTCTTCATTTTACTAAAAAATACATCATTGAAATCTTATACATTCATGATTTATTGGAAATGCGAGAGACAACTATAATTAAACTTCTCGGTTCTGTGCTTCGTTTAACTGCATTAAATAGCTCCTTTTGATGTGCCAACCACATGGCCGAATGCCTTCATAAAATGAGCAAATTATTTCCATCAGCTATTAGAAAACCACATAAAGAAGCAACTAACCAGGACAAAGGATAACTGACACAGACAACTGCAACTACGGAAGCACGACTGAAGTGGAGTGTCAGGATGACCACAGCAGCCACAGCAGTTCATAAAGATGCTGAATAGAAGACCAGGTCAGTGGATACTTCTATTGGGGAAAACTAGAGGATGGAGTAAGGCAGACAGTTCAGAATCCGCAGCAAGCCACAGATATCCATCGGGCAACTAATTGTCCAGGTTATAGCCGGAATAACCGATGCGTTTGGTCAAACATTTTCAATATTTCCTGAAAAACAGCAGTTTGCCCACTCCCAAATGA